AAAGGAAAAGGGTATAGAAAAAGCCTTATATTCGGGAGCATCCTGGTATATTGGACTGTTCGAAACGGATGAACCAGCTGTCACCTCCAGGTTTTAGTGGATAAGCGTCTATCAAATAAAGAGGATTTGGAGAACAGCTTCATACAAAAAATGGCATAAGTGAACTGAAAAAAGCATACGCTTTCACTGTGTAAGAAATCAGTGAATAGTTTTTCTAAAATCTGTAGTTACTGTTTAATACGTTTGTTGAACCCCGCCTTTTGAATCGTGCGTAGAACTTAGATGCTCAATTGTTGTTTACTGGAATAATAAATCTACGAATGGTAGTGATATCAGTCTAATTCAGCACTTTGAAATATGCTCAAGTCTTTAGAGAGAACTTCATACAATAGAATTCAATGAAGTTTTCAGGGGTCACCGGTGGCATTCTATGTGTCAATTTGTATCATCAGACGTATAATCAGGATCACGCAAGTTGCCACAGTAGACAGAGATGTGCCTTGGACACATCACTGAGTACTGCTACGTGTCTCCACAGGTTGGGCACTGCACGGCCCTGGAGGACATCATTCACACAGATGCCCTGGGAAATAGCTCCCCCTAGGGTTGTGCAGAGCACAGCCTGCCCACAGCTTGCTGGCTTCGATGCGTCAGCCTTAACAGGCTATGAAGGCGGAATGGTTGATTCCCCTTCAACAGTAAGGCTCATCCCCAGGACTGATGGAGCGGGCCTGGTTAGCTGGGTGAGTGTGGGCTCTCTCCTGCCCACTTCCTCCTCATTCACCACCTCCCCCTACAGGTTTACGTTCTGATGAAAGATGTTGACCTTCCCAGACAGAGGCGAGTGCCCTCCAGTCAAGGGTATGCTTGGAAGTCTGCTGGAGCCCCCCCTGGAACTCCAGGGGCCTCTCCGTGGTTCTGGGGCAAAGAGCCCCTCCTTCTCTCCACAGAGAACTGAACATTCTTCCCCTCTTCCTAGTGAGGCACTTCTGCAAACACTCACACGTGGCTTTGTTAACCCCACTCCTTAAGCTTTGCCTTTTAAACGCCAAGATTCACCTGAGCTCAACTGACAGCGTCACCAATTCAAAAACGTTCTCACTTTCTCTAGCCTCCAAAAAGGCCCTCAGCTGGGTCCTTCAGGTTCCATGAGGCCAATTCTAACTATCCTAGCCTTACGTGTACAACCGTGGTATTCTAAAACTAAGCAATCATTATTTCTTATAGAAAAATAATTGTTTAAAAAGAAAAACACAACCGCTCACGCAGCCGGATGTGTGCACCCTCACTACACGTGACACAATCGTATTTCCCCCGTCGAAGCACAGGGGGCCCTGACGTTTCCCTGACGCAAAGCAGAAGCCCACGGCCATGTCACAACGAGGGAGGACACGAGGAAATGCACAAGGCAGGAGCGGCAGCAGGGTGCTTGCCCTGATAGTCCATTTCCAAACTAGGGGGACTTGTCATCAGACCGGACTTGGCCAACAACTAACAGTGTGACCTTGGCCCAGTCCGGTTCCCTTCTTGAGCTTTGGTTTCCTTATTTGCACCCATGCCAACAGTATAGAGTTGACAGGGGATTGATTAACTGAGCTAATGAATGGAAAGTATTAAGTTCCTGATATGTGGTAGGTTTTTCATACCTCATTACTACCCTTTCATTCATTTGCTGTTATTTCAAGTGCCTACTTACTACTGGCATAATACTGGGTATGGCCTTGTGAGAATCAGAGAAATGTAATTGTTTTTTCCCTTCATGAATCTTATAATACATTCATTCATTCAATAAGCAATGATCGAGTGTCCATTTTGTGTCAGACACCCTCGCAGGTGTTAGAGTTACAAACATGAATAAAATAAGCCGAGGCCCCAGCCTTCAAGTGGCTCACATTCTGGTGGAGAAGATCAGACATGTAATCACATACAGTGTATGTACAACACGGTAAGAAAAGCCACACCACAGGTATGTAGCATGAGTGTTCTCTCAGACCTAAAACGCATACATCGGATTAACCTGGGAGGAAGACCCTGCGCAGAGAATTCTGGGTAGGTGTGCATAGAAAATGTGACATGCATGAGGTTTCTGCAAGTTTTGAACATCCGTGGAGCAAAATTGTGCTTGTAAAAGTCACGGAAAACATGGCTGAAGAAAGTAGTTGAGAAGCCAGTGAAGAAGTTTGGTCTCTTTTCTGAGAAGGTGAGGGGCCATGATGACTTTCAAGCTGTTCGGGGTGGGTCAATTTTCTGCCTTTCGGGCAGTCCCTCTGGAGGCTGTGGTATGATGGAAGTCGGGCCGGACGGGCCCGAGAGGAGGTAAAAAGAACAATTGGGTTTTTGTTCAGATGAGAGAGAAGGAAGACTCACGCTAAGGCAGTGGCAGCGGAGGGTGGGGAACGGTTTCGGCTACACCATCATGCACGGGGAAGACGTTATGGGCCTCGGTGACTGGCAGGACGGAGCTGGGGAGAAGCTGAGGCTGACTCGTGCTACCGGGTGCTTGGCAGCACCCTTAACAGGATCAGGAACAAGGGGACTAGGCTTGGGGAGGACACGCACACGCACAGTGACTTATTTAGCCCATCAGAAGAGCAGTACGGCACACCAGTACACCGCTGGGCTTTGGATTACTGTGCCAGATTAGACAGAGGAGCAAACGCCGTCACTCCAGAGGAAGCCAGCACGGCTTGGTCTTTTCAACATTCCTCTTTATATAATTTTCCCCTTTTTCCAGGAGCAACCTCACTGATACATCTTGGAGTAATGTGCCTACTATCAGATGCCTTGGCATCTGAGAATCACTCATTCCAGGGCCCCAACAGCAGTTAAGAAGTGACTGCCTCTTCTTCCCTGCACCTCATACTCCTTGGGCTGCTCAGCACCTTGGGCTACCAACAAGGGCTTCTTTCACGGCAGGAGCATGACCGTGTAATTGCTGGTGCATTTTAAAGTAGTGGAGAACTCCCAACTTCCCCAAAAATCTTTGGTTCAGAAACTGTATGAACAAAGTAAAGTCTATTGCGAACAAGTTTATGTAATAGGCAGGGAGCCTATTGTTCAGGAGGGTTGTGGTACGGAGGAAGGTGCTGGAAATGCAAAGTGGAATGAACATGATTCCTCCCATTAAAGTTTTACGGTCTGATGGAGAAGGCAAATCAAGCCTTAAAGGGCTGCTGCGTTACACCACACAATGCTAGGGGAGCAAGGAAAGGGAACGACCAACCTATTCATGGATGTTCACGGCGGCTTTCCGTGGGTGACATGTGTATAAACCACAGAACACAAAGTCTACCAGAAGCTGCGTCCCAAGCAAGGTACATGCTAAGTGCTCTGGAAAGGGCTCTTTCACTCCAACTGAGTAGGTCCAGCAAGACTTTTTGGAAGAGGCTACGTGTTAGCTGGAACTTCAAAGGGTCAAATGAACAAATTCCTGAAAAAAAAAAAAAGTGGAAAACCTAAGGGCATGTTTGAAGAACGGGCTTTCCCAGGATCAGGTTTAGGTTTGGGGCTACAAGACACGGAGGGAGACAGACATGGAATACTCTGTAAAAGTTAACAGCAAATCTAGAGTTAAATTGTACCACAACATTCAAGAAATACCCAGAGGCAGCAAGTGATTAAGAGGTATGTTAGGGGCAGGAGCCGCATGCACAAGTCAGAGGAATGATGAGGTCACCCGTGCACCTGAATCCTAAGGTGCCTACAATCTCAAGGCCACAGGCTCCTTTTGGTCTGGAGAGGCGCTCTTGCCTGCCCAGCGGGCGCTGGATAAATGTTGGTTCACTGAGTTAATCTTTCCCCAGCTAGCTAGAAATGGTAGAGGACCTGGAGCTCCCTGTTCCTGTGTTTAAACTTTAACCAATAAACTGTAGTGGAAATGTAGGCGCCCCAGAGGAACTTAGGAAAGCACCATCCTCTCCCTTGCCCAGAAGCCAGCGAAGAAGCCAGACAATTGCCCTCCAAAAGTTGCACCAAGGCTGTGCAGCCCCGAGGCCCCGAGGCCCCGAGGCCCCGAGTTCTAGTTTTGTAGGAACGGAAGAGGGGTGGGGAAGGACCAAGAAAAGATCCACAGACAGCAAAGGGAGCCGGCTCACTAAGGTACTCCTGGAATGTTTTCCCTCCCCGAGGGACGGCCAGGTAGGGCAAAGAGTATGGCGCTTGGAGCCGGGGTCTCTGCCACGACCTGGCAGCGAACGAGTCACTTAATCTTTTCCATCTGTGTCCTGTGTCCCCATTTGTAGAAGAAGGTGGTTGTGGAGCCCACACCAAGTATGTAAGCTCTACCACGTGCCAAGTGAGACGTTTCCCACCTTCCGTTAACCCTCACAAGCACCGTGGGGGGTATTACTAACCCCCTTTAACTCAAGGCATTCGATTCAGAGCACTGAAGCAACACGTCCAAGGTCACCCTGCATGAGTGGCAGGGCGACACTGCAACATGAGGTGGACTCGCGGTCCCCGTTGGATATGGGTTAACCTCCCTAAACGAGGGTCTCGGGCTCCCATTCCTCAACTACCCGACCGGCACCCCCTCCTCCTCCCGAAGCTCCCGGGCAACCCACCCCCTCCACCCCCCAGTGTGCTGTGGAAGGGCTGTCGCTCAGACTCCAGAAATTTTTCACGCCACTCTGCCAGCGGAGCCCGACCCGCCCACGGCTCTTCCTCCCAGGATTGGTCGAATTCAGGGAGGCAACTACTAGGCCCAGAGAGCCTGCCACCCCCAATCCCTCCCAGCGCTCTGGGCGCACGCGCTCCGAGCGTGCGTGCGTGCGTGCGTGCGTGCGTGCGTGCAAAGGAGCACGTGAGGTCCCGGAACGTGCACAGGGGGAGGAGGCAGGAAATGGGAGGCGAGGGGCGGGGCTGCCGTTGCCATGACAGTGACGTCAGGCGTCGGGGAGCGAACCCGGCCCCTTCCCCACGCGCGCGCGCGCGCACACGGACATGCACACGCGCGCGCACCGCCGCTCTCCCTCCGACACACTGGAGGGAAAGGTCAAACTAAAGGCGAGGGAGCGGGGAGGCCGGAGGAGCTGCCGCTGCCGCGCGCCATGACGGACGCGGCCGAGTCAGCTTTCTCTCCGCCGACGCGGCCGAGCCGTTGCTCTCGTCGCGCCCCCCGCCCCCGCCCCCATGTCCGTTCTCCCCCTGTCCCCTACCCCCGGCGCTCGCGCGTCCACGCGTCCCCTCCCCCCGGCTCCTCAGGCGCGCGTCGGGCCTGGGGCGCGCGCCGGCCGGGAACGGGAGCGGGCGCCACAGGGTGGGGGCTGCGGCGGACGATCGGGCGGCCTCCCCGCGCGACCCCCGGCGCCCTCGGCGAGGGCCCGCCAGGTGAGTGCGGTTGGTGGGGAGAGGACGTCAGAGGACGAGGCGCCCGGCGAGCTCAGCCCCCTGCCCTACCCCTTCCGGGGGCGCTGACAGGCGCTCGGGACCCGGCCTCTTGGGGGCGTCGCGGGGTCATCCTGCCGCGGGGCCTTTTTTGGCGCCTCTGGCCCTTTGGGGTCGGGCCCCGGAGTGGTGGGGGTTTGGGGCAGGGGGCGTGCAGTCGCTGACCCGGAGTTGGCAGGGCCACCCGGGCGTGGGGACAGACGACGGGAGGCAGGTGGGCCCCTCTCTGGGGCTTGGTGAAGTGCAGGGAGGGGGCGAGGGGCGGAGGGGCCGGGCCAGGTGCGCGCCGGGGCCCGCAGGAAGCTCTCCAGAAATGTTTGTTGGGCAGTTGGGAGAAACTCTGCCCTCGGGACGAGGTGCCTTGCTTCTGCCCCAGCCAGCGAAAGTGGCGGATTTCAGCGAAACTCGGGGGCAGCAGGCAGGGCAGGGTGGGAGGGCGAGGGCCCGGGAAGACCCGTCTGGATGGGAACCGGAGCTGAACGGATCCGGCTAGGGCATGATGTGTGGACGTTGCCATGCCAGTGTTCGATGTCGGCTGCTCGTGGTTATTTTGGGACCAAAGGGTAAAAAAGTTACTCGGGAGAGAGAGGACTGCTTGAATGGTCAGAAGTCCTTCCCTGTTGATGCAGGAAATGGGTTAATCTTTCACACACACGCCCCCTCCCCCCCCATTGAATCTACACCCGGTGGACTTTAAAAATACTAAATACAAACTCTGAAGCCCCAAACAAGGTAATGTTTGTCTGATGAGTTTCAGGTGTCAGGCTCCGCGTTCCCTGGGAGAAAAACAGGAGGACAGCGAAGTACTTGATATGCTGTAGCAGTCGCCTTTTTGTAATGAGCTTTGGAGCCTATCAAAGCGGAGTGGAGCTCTAACAGCCAGGGTTAAATAATCACATTGACCCAGCGCCACCCACCAATCAGGAGCTTCCCTGGAAGTAACTGGGAAGACTGCTCGCAGCCCAGCACCCTGCTGATGGTGAAAAACCGGTGCTTCTGCTGATTGTTTTTCCTCTTTAATTTTCCACTGCTGTAGCGCACGCTACCTATTTACCAGACGTTGGGAGGAATGATCCCCGGTTAAACTGCTCTCCTCTGAGTCACTTTTAAATGATCAAGCACTAGTTCTCCCAGGTCTTTTTTCACAGGGAAAGTTACTTGGAAATTTCAAATAGAGTAGTTTCAAACGGATAAGGTTTTTGGATTTAGCTTAAACAGATTATACCAAGTGGGTCGCGTGTTTAAAATTTAAATCTCAGCCAAGAACATGTCTGGTCCGTGAAAGGTTCGGGGTTGTGACAGCGGAGGAAATGTCTGAAGGCGTCTGTGGGGAAGGATCAGGGAGCAGCCGGGACCCCCTTCCTGGAGAGTTGAACGTGAACCGGAGGATTCAGCACATGCAGATTCGTTCCTTACCTGGGAGCCTTTCTGACCTGTGTGTGTGGGGGGGGGACTGCTGTCATGAAGCATCTCTGGTTATTTGTCTCTTTCAAAAAGTTGTGTGTCCACAGAGAACCCTCATTTTGAAATTGAGTCGTGGTGGCACGCAGCCAGGACACCCAGGGCTCACAGTGCGAGGTGTGAGGGAGGGTTATGCAGGTCGGGGCCTTGTGAACCCTCTCTGCGCCCGCCGCAGTCTCTGTGCCTGGTTCTGGTCCGCGGTGCCCCTGTTGGCCGTTGGCCACACACGTCTGTAAGGGGCTCTGTCCCGGGGTACTCGAATGTTACAACCTGAAACATCCTTTCCCGTGATATGTTGATATATATTTATTTATGATTTTTCCCTTCCTTCTCTTTGTAGAGGAAACCCCAGAACCGGGCAAACCAGCACTTACTCAGCATATCCCCCTCCCGTAGGACTCATTGACCTTGGTGGCACCATGGAGGTCAGTGTTCATGAAGATAAAAGGTTCTTGCTTTCTGCCAAGTGATAGAGATACATGGGAAAGTGGTCTAAGATATGTATATTTTGATTTTTGAAAAAATAATTTTTAGTGGGCATTATTGTGATTACCAAAAATAGTTTATTGACTCCCTCTTGGGACTACTTTTACATTTCTGTTTTACGTGAAAAACATAATCACTCAATTTCTTTTTTTTTTTTTCAACTTTTCTAGTATTGCTTGTACACCCTACCACAGACGAACAGCTGGTTCTGGATGACGGTTTCAGAGTGTGGGAACCGGGCAGAAGGGCAGTGGCGCCGGGACGAAGTTAGCCCGGGAGAGCAGCAGCGCTGCCTTGAAGAAACCTGGTATTTACAAGGATAAGATTACACAATAAATTAAATAGTGGTTAGCTACGTTATTACGTGAGAATTCCGTATTTTACAAAGAGGGCTCACTGAAAGTTTCCTTCCAGTAAGTAATGCCTTTTTTATGATACTTATAAAATGTGATTTGACTTAACAAAAAAGCGGTTGGCACACAGCAATTTCGGAACATATTTTTGGCATATTGCATGATTTATTAATGTGTTTCTTGAATTATCTTTTTCCCAAAAGCGTTTGGGGGCAAAATTATAGTATTAATGGACTTCGTAAAAGCAAAGTTCTGTTACTTATGTGCGACCTATTAATGTTTTAACTGAATGGGAAAATTATCATCTGATTTGTGCTTTACCATTTAAGGAGTACATTGAAACCTAATTAAAATGCCAGAATTTTATGGCCAAGTTTGTCTGGAAACCCATCCGAGGTAGTTGAGTTACTGAGGTATCAAAAGCACCTTGTTACAAGATACTCTCGCTAGGATGGTGGTCCTGCAGCATAGGCCGGCAAGGGGCTGTGCCCAGACTACAGCAAATTTAAAGTAAATAGATTTGGTCCAAAGTCCACATGTAATGCAAACCATTACCTTGAATTTTCCTCTAGGTGCAGATTATTCTCCAGAATTAAAGGCTTGATTTTCCTGAGGTGCAGTTCTATTTGGGTCACTTGTGGAAGATTCTATTTTGATAAAAGAACAACTGCATACTCTTTAAACCTTCAGGGAGGCTTTTTATTTTTTTACTTCTTGTTAGTGCATTTGAGCTTATTTGGAATCACAAGAGATGTTGAATGAAATACCTGGGGAGTTTTCATTCTGAAGTCGTTCTGCTTTGGTGAGTGTGAGTTAACATGAGAACCTGCTAACAGGGCAGCTCAAACTTCGCTGGGATGAGGGAGAGAGGGAGGAACCAGACGCAGGCTTCATTGGGATAATTCATCAGGTGTGCCCTGCTCTGTGCTGTTCATGCCTGGCTTCCCCAGAGTGACAGCTCTCCTCCTCACTTTCAGAGGAGCTTCTTTTTTTTTTTTTAAGATTTTTGTTTATTTATTTATTTATTTTTAGGGGGGGGGGAGACAGACACCAGTGTGCGGTTGCTGGGGGTCATGGCCTGCAACCCAGGCATGTGCCCTGACTGGGAATCGAACCTGCGACACCTTGGTTTGCAGCCCACACTCAATCCAATGAGCTACGCCAGCCAGGGCTAGGAGCCGTATTCTTAAAGAAGGGATTGAAAAGACAAGAGCTAAACATACAGGTATGTGAGCATTCTACTATCTTTTGAGAAGTTTAATCATTTTTTGTTTTGTTTTATGCATTAGAAAGAAAGTGATTTCTGTGCTGACTGTGGACTGAGAGCCCAGCTCTAGGATAATGGGCACTGTTTTATCCGTGTATAACTGAATATTATAAAAATGGAAGGAACGGCTTGAATGATGCCACTGATGTTTTAGAACAGGCTCTTAGTTCCTGCGCTGAACAGATGAATAAGAATGAAGATTGATGGTGTGATATTAGAGAAGTATTTAATTTTTTTTTAAACCCCAAGGGACTGTCCCCAAGGATTGCTAATGTAGAGCGTGGTGAGGTAGATAAGTTCATTACTTAGGTTTATCATTAATGAGGATATGTAATTTAAAAAGTGTTCAAATACATGCAAAAAATAATAGTAATGATTAGACTGCATTTAAAAGGTATTTGTGCCTGGATCTGGGAGAAAAGAGGTACTGGTCAGAAATTTTCATCGGAATTGAAGGCTGAGTGATGGTCTGCGTGTCATTACTTAGCCCGCTGCTGCCCCTTCAAATGTCACTTCACGTTTCCGTCCCCAGTTTTCTTTCCTGGGAAACGCGGTCAGTAGTGCGACATGCATTGTGTGAGCTGGGTTCTGAAACAATGTTTGCTGGACTTCTTAAGCATAAAAATAATACTACCAAAGTGGGATTTTAAAATGTTTATACCTTGCATAATGTGAAGAAATTTGGGCAAAAGTTTTAAAAAGAAGAAAGGCTGAGTTCAGAATGTTAGTCACAGGTGATTGATTGTACATTGCATTTTCTTCATTCTCCTTAAAGGACTTTCTCTCACTGTTGCATATTTGTATTTTCCGTACTCCTGTTGTGCTGGTTTTAGTGTTGGGGCGTCTTACCTGTAGCATCAACATAAAGTTCAGAGTTATGGAACTTCTCTGTGTTTCCCCCCAGCTGCCCCCTCTGGGAGACTGTTTCAATTTCAGTGTCCCAGACTACACTGAATGTGGTCTAATCAGAAGTTATTCTAAATAGAAAGGTTATTGCAGTTTTCACAAACTAGAGGAAAATAAAAATATATCTTGAAATAGTTTTGAACATTTTTGTATTACTGTGTGGACAATTAAACATGGTGTGTATAATTCAGATTTTCTATTATTAACATTTAAGTTAACTTTATTTGGTGTATTGTTAAATTCAACATAATAATTGCATAGTCTCTTAATATATATTGATGGAATATTTTTCAGAAAACCTGCACTTAAATGGGCAAGAGATAGAAATTTTACTCTGAAACCTTCTAATTGAATATATAGTTAAATGTATATGGTTAAATGTTTGATATTGGGTATTGTTTTGATTGGTATTTTTATGTATGAGGATTTTTTGTGTGTTTTTATGGGATTGCTTTCAAGTATATATTTATAAACAGAAGCTTTCCTTTATAAAAAGTCCTTTGTGTGTAATGATTATTTGATAGTGCTCAGACTTTTATATTTGAAGTAAGTGGAAATGAATAATTTATTAAGCTGCTGTCCCAAGATGTGCTAATTTGGGTGGGACATGTGATACAATTTATTTTTCTACAATGTACAGTTATTTTTATCTCCCCCAAATTTATAGCAGAATAGTTGGCTATTTTTGCAAATTTAGGAGTGTAGACTATGCCCAGAAATGATCCATTGAATGCTAAGTGTTGAACTGAGTGTACAATATTATTTGGGATAGTGTTTTCCTTATAATGACATTTATATCGTTTCTGTTAAAGTACCATCTCTTGAGCATGCCTGTAAGTGAACATATTGTACACGTGGGTCAGACGATGTATGGAAGGACTAAATTTCCATCCTCTGCTCCTCTCCCCGCCTCCTCCCCTTCCTAGTCTGGCAGTAGTTGGCCCTCACACCCTGGCCGGGAGCCTCAGTGTGCGACGGGTGGCACCGGGTGGTTGTTGGCTGGTGTTTTCCGAGTGTGTGTTATCTGATGGAGAAAAGTGAGACTGTTCTGTAACTCTTACTCCGTGTTAAGCATTGCTTTGACAATTGGTTTTTAATTAATTTATTTGTAAAGGGGATGACACTTCAGAAATACTTGAGACCGTTGGAGTGGTTATGTTCCCCAAAAGTATCCGAGTGAGGAACGGGGAGGGTAAAGGCAGAGAGGACAGTAGGGTTGGGTCAGATGGTGTAAAGTAAATGCAGTTGTTTGCTATCCAACATTCAATTACTAAGCAGCTCTTCTGTAGGGTTGTAACCTTGCTGTCTCATTGGCACTTCTCATCGTGGAGTCCGGAGTATTAAGTTGTCGGGAACGGCAAACGCACACCTCCAGTTAGTTTTACGCATTGTTGCTGGGAACGGGCGAGATGGCTGCGCGAGGGGCGGGCGACCTCGCCGTGGTGGTCGTTTCCAGTGACCACGTTTAGAACTCCCAACATTGTAAGGTGGGGAAACGGGTACTCGGGCCATAGGTGGGGAAGGATTTTCATGTACAAAGTCGTTGTTAAGGAAATTCAGGTACACCAATCTTGAAAAAAATCACATCACACCAGTGACCGTCACAGCCTGTGTCTCGAACATTCCCTGGCCGTCTGTGTCTGACCGTAAGTTCTAACTCTCGGGTTAGAAGATGTGGTCACTTAAATTACAGTTTCACTCAAGAATGCAAAAGCTGCTGATGAGTCTTTACCTTCCTTTTTCTGTATTAAACATTTTGTCGTTAATTCCGAAGACCTAACCCTGTCTGCTTAGTTCTGAGTGTGGCTAGTCCTGTGAGTGAAGAGAAGCTGCCTTCCAGAGTGAACCCTTGCGCCTGGGAAGGTGGAGGCACATCAGGAGGGGTGTGAAGTGTGTACAGACGTGATTGTGGAGATATACAGTTTTTCTTTCTGAAGCGGTAGGTTTTTGGAAAAGAGTATTAGTATGAGAGAGACAAGAGAGACCGATGTGTTGTTCCACTTATTTACACATTCATTGCTTGCTTCTTGTATGTGCCTTGATCAGGAATTGAACCCGCAACCTTGACATTTAACAACTGATCATCCCAGCCAGGGCCTAAAGCAGTGGTTTTGAAATTGTTCTGTAAAGGCTTCTGGAGGAAGTCAAGCAGGTTCATTCCAATTTCAACCAGTCCAGTTTTACTGTGATCAACTTTAAGCCTGGAAGTTTGCATAAGATTTCATTCGAGTGCAGGGTTTCGTTGTTGAAAATAGAAAGCGTGGTAGCCACTGTTGGTGGCATATTTGATCTCATCGCTGTCCTGCTTAAATCCTTGCAGTGGCTGGGTATTTTTGTTACGGCCCTGGGACTTTGCTTATCTAGCTCCGGCTTCATTCTTCATCTCGTGTCGCCGTTTCCCTTGCTTTCCGTGCCCCTGCATTCTAGTTCTGCTTCAGCTGCTTGGTGTTCCCTCAGAGGAAAATGCCACTGCACCGTGCCTTTGCGCGAGGAACTGCCATCACTCGTGCCGTGCCAGGTGGAACTCGGTTCCCCGGGGACCGCGGTCACGGCTCCGTAAAAGCACTTCATTGTTTTGTAACTGCGCCCCTTGAGAGCCGAGACCATCTAACTGACCTTCATGTCCATACCACTTGGTGTCATTAAGTAGTCAAATGGCGGTGGAATAACTGCATTTAGAACTTGAGAAGTAGTAGCATTGCCTTAATGCACACTCTTTTGAATAAAACATCCCAGATCTAGCCTGTGCGAAGTATTTATAGTGACATGGTGTCAGGCATTATGCTAAGTGTGTGAAAGGCACTCGGTTACACTTACCATGAAGTATAATAACGCCAAACTGTATCGTACATGGAAAGATTAGATTAGGTTGCATTAGGTGCTGTTGGCTTAAATGAGGTGATGGATTGGACTCAGTCATCTGATCTTAAAAGCTGGTTGCGAAAGCATTTAATAATAGTTCTATAGTCTTGACTGCCCGTGAAAGAATTTCTTCGTATATGATTAAAGCTCACAGACTCAGACCTTCAGATGCCCACCCACGAAGGTGAAAGAGTGGGCCCTGGAGCTGTCCCGCGTGAATTCACATTCTTCCCCACCTGTCCCTAGCCGTTGATCCTGTGCAAGTTACTTACCATTCAGTGCCTCCTTTTCTTACCTGTAAAATAGGGGTGTTGATAGTACTACTTTAAATGGCTATGATGAAGGATATACATGAGTTAATGTACGTTGAGCACTTAAAAATGTCCAACACAGAGAAAACACACAGTACATGTTAGCTATAATTAATCTATAGTGGCTTCTTATTTAAACAAATGTTTATTGTGTGTCATTTCCATCAGATAGTTGCTTTAGGTACACAAGTACCTAATTTAAAAGAAAAATAA